ATTACATTACATTACATTACATTACATTACATTACATTACATTACATTACATTACATTACATTACGTTACATTACATTACGTTACGTTACGTTACATTACATTACATTACATTACATTACATTACATTACATTACATTACATTACATTACATTACATTACATTACATTACATTACATTACATTACATTACATTACATTACATTACATACGTACATTACATACATACATACATACATACATACATACATACATACATTACATACATTACATACATTACATACATTACATACATTACATACATTACATACATTACATACATTACATACATTACATACATTGCATACATTACATACATTACATACATTACATACATACATACATACATACATACATACATACATACATACATACATACATACATACATTACATACATACATACATTACATTACATTACATTACATACATACATACATTACATTACATACATTACATTACATTACATTACATTACATTACATTACATTACATTACATTACATTACATTACATTACATTACATTCCATTACATTACATTACATTACATTACATTACATTACATTCATACATACATACATACATTACATACATTACATACATAGATACATAAATACATAAATACATACATTACATACATACATACATACATACATACATACATACATACATACATACATACATACATACATACATACATACATACATACACACACACATACATACCCCCACCCCACCACACATACATACATGCATGCCCTTCACTACACTACACTACACTTCATTACATTACACTACACTACACTACACTACATTACATTAAATTACGTTACATACATACATTACGGTACTGTTGCGTTTCGTTACATTACATACATTACATTGCGTTACATTGCATTGCATTGCATTACATTACATGACCTTGCATTACATTACAGTACAGTACTTTACATACATACATACATACATTACAACACACTACATTGCATTACATTACTTTACTTCACTTTGTATTGCGTTACATTACAGAACATAACATTACTTACATTACATTGCATTCCACTACGTTACTTTGCGCTACGTTACATATATGACACACATTTCATGCATGACATACATTACATATATTACATGCGTTTCATACATTACACACATTAAATACAATACATACATGACATTGCATTACATTACATTGCATTGTATTGCATTGCATTGCTCTACATTGCATTGCATTACAATACATTACATTACATGACATTACATTACATTACATGACATTACATGACATTACATTACATTACATTACAATACATTACAGTACATTACAGACATACATACATAGATACATGCATTCACACACCAACATGACATAACATGACATTACATTACATTGCATTACATTACCCTACATACATACATGCCTTAAATTGCATTACGTTACATACATACGTACATGACATTCATATATATATATATATATATATACATATGTATTATACATACATCTGATACCAAACATCTCATGTCTTCCCTCACTCCCCTCCACCCGTTGCCTTGAACACCGCCAGCATCGACACGCGGCCGTGCATCAGCTCTGCCTGGCCACGGTAAAACCGAGGCCGGCAGTGAACGAAGCGCCAAGAACTCACCAATCCACTAAGCAAAATGTGCAACAGGCTCAAGGCTATGCCTGATACTAAAAGATTGCGGTAACCAATCAGCCTTGGCATAGCCACTCAGTGCTGGCACGCATGGTCCACCATTTTCCGCAGCGTGTGCTCTGTGCATATCTCTGACACCCTGTGCAGACAGTCGTATGCCATATACAAAGACAATCTCAGAATCACATACCGAAACATCATGCAACCATGCAAATGATTGCGCCGCACCGTTTGAGGTGCCGCGCCATTTGAGGCGCCCGCATCTCAATCTCATCTCAACGTCTCACACTGCGATGCTTTCCCCGGCCCGCAGCTTCTCCAAGGTCTGATTGCTGAAGAGCATCTGCAGGGCTTCCGGGCTGTGGATGATCTCCTGCATCATGGGGCTGGCGTGTGCCAGCTGTTGCACCAGGGGATTCTCCTCCAGCACCTGCCAAGACACCGTCAGCTTCCCGGACACCGCAAACGTTGCTTGCGCGAGTTGCAATGCTGTTCGATGCTGCAAGTCAGCGTCTCAAACTACGCAAACTGAGAAGCAAGTTTCTTTGCTTGCCTGTGTGTGTGTGTGCGCGTATCACCGAAACGACTAAGCAGATCTTAACTTCAGCAAACGGTCTCCTTAACACCAACCCAGATGACATCCCACCTCTCAAACAGCCCTGACAAGTACTGGAAACACACAAAGCTCATCAACAAAAAGCAATTCAGAATTGGACTGCGCCTTCACAAGCATCTCGGGCTTGCTGGTGAGGTTGCGAATACCTCGGACCAATCTTGGCAGAGCAACAGAAAATCTTGTGCGCTGAGTTGAGAAGCGTGCCGCTCTCTTCTTTCCATACTCAAATGGATTGCTGTGATGCACACATGTGTAAGACCCTGACTGGAGGGCACCTCGCCAAAAAAAGAAACAACACACAACGACAGAAACTACGGCCAGCAACTGCGTTCAGCCAAGCTGCGGTCTTGAACGCTCTGCTGGCCCAGTTCCGCCTTCAGCTGCGGATCCAACTGCTCCGGCTCCGTTGCATTCTCGATGCCCGCGAGCTTCATCAAGGAACTGGGATCCGCTTGCTCTCCGCGACCCACGCTCTTGAAGACGTTCGTCCAAGCGTCCATGCCTGACACCAGCGCAGTAAGCATGCCAAGTAAAACACTCAGCCGAACTATGTAACACATCTTGACATCTCCTTAAAGGTTCGGCATGCTTACTTTGCCTCCTTTGTTTTGGAAGGAGAAACCGACAACACAGGACAAACCTGTGTACAATACACTCCCAACTATATCCGCCGGCACTACAGACGGCGTGTTGAGCACAAGAAAGCTGTCTCACTCAGTTCGGAAAGAACATAATGTACCCATCTTTCGGCACACTCCTTGCTTAACGTGTCACGCATCCCGCCTTCGAACTTCAGGTCCTCTATCTTCACATCTCGGCCATCCCGCCTGCCATGCAGATCGATCGAGACCCCTGCTGCCAAAGCCACCTGCCAGGGAGGCGCAAACCAAAACTTCAAAACCTGCCGCCATGATGTTGAAAAATGGTGGACATGATAGCGTGTAGGTACATGCATATATCAATCATATATCCGCATTTGCTGGTAAACTCTGATGTCCGACAGGTGCTGTGGAAGTCAACTTACAGGCCAATAGTTTGATTCATACAACATACAACAGAGTCAGCTCTCAACAGTAGAGAAACAATAATCATGTGTGGGTGAATTTAATCATGTGTGTGTGTGTGCGTGTGTTTCCTTTGAAACAACAAGAAACAACAACGTGATAGAGCCTAACTGGCTCTAGCCCCTACCAGCCTGCCACATCAGCAGTGCAATCTCGGCAAACTTGAGAGCCATCGGGCCAAGGGGGATCGGGGTCGAGTGCAGAAATCGAATTCGTTGACTTGTTGGGTGATGTTGGTCTTGAGCCAAAGGTTGACGTCAAAGATGCAAGCATCAAGCCCCCTCACAAATGGCACGTTCCCAGCTTTCTCAACCGTCTCAGCTCATCGCAGGGCCCATCCATCTGCCCAAACCAAGCACTCGGCAAGTCGCCAACTACTCAGTGCTGGCATGCATGGTCCACCATTTTCCGCAGCGTGTGCTCTCCGCATATCTCTGACACCCTGTGCAGACAGTCGTATGCCATATACAAAGACAATCTCAGAATCACATACCGAACATCATGCAACCATGCAAATGATTGCGCCGCACCGTTTGAGGTGCCGCGCCATTTGAGGCGCCCGCATCTCAATCTCATCTCAACGTCTCACACTGCGATGCTTTCCCCGGCCCGCAGCTTCTCCAAGGTCTGATTGCTGAAGAGCATCTGCAGGGCTTCCGGGCTGTGGATGATCTCCTGCATCATGGGGCTGGCGTGTGCCAGCTGTTGCACCAGGGGATTCTCCTCCAGCACCTGCCAAGACACCGTCAGCTTCCCGGACACCGCAAACGTTGCTTGCGCGAGTTGCAATGCTGTTCGATGCTGCAAGTCAGCGTCTCAAACTACGCAAACTGAGAAGCAAGTTTCTTTGCTTGCCTGTGTGTGTGTGTGTGCGCGTATCACCGCAACGACTAGGCTGATCTTAACTTCAGCAAACGGTCTCCTTAACACCAACCCAGATGACATCCCGCCTCTCAAACAGCCCTGACAAGTACTGGAAACACACAAAGCTGATCAACAAAAAGCAATTCAGAATTGGACTGCGCCTTCACAAGCATCTCGGGCTTGCTGGTGAGGTTGCGAATACCTCGGACCAATCTTAGCAGAGCAACAGAAAATATTGTGCGCTGAGTTGAGAAGCGTGCCGCTCTCTTCTTTCCATACTCAAATGGATTGCTGTGATGCACACATGTGTAAGACCCTGACTGGAGGGCACCTCGCCAAAAAAAGAAACAACACACAACGACACAAACTACGGCCAGCAACTGCGTTCAGCCAAGCTGCGGTCTTGAACGCTCTGCTGGCCCAGTTCCGCCTTCAGCTGCGGATCCAACTGCTCCGGCTCCGTTGCATTCTCGATGCCCGCGAGCTTCATCAAGGAACTGGGATCCGCTTGCTCTCCGCGACCCACGCTCTTGAAGACGTTCGTCCAAGCGTCCATGCCTGACACCAGCGCAGAAAGCATGCCAAGTAAAACACTCAGCCGAACTATGGAACACGTCTTGACATCTCCTTAAAGGTTCGGCATGCTTACTTTGCCTCCTTTGCTTTGGAAGGAGAAACCGACAACACAGGACAAACCTGTGTACAATACACTCCCAACTATATCCGCCGGCTACAGACGGCGTGTTGGACACAACAAACAATGCCACCCGGTTCGGAAAGAACATAATGTACCCATCTTTCGGCACACTCCTTGCTTAACGTGTCACGCATCCCGCCTTCGAACTTCAGGTCCTCTATCTTCACATCTCGGCCATCCCGCCTGCCATGCAGATCGATCGAGACCCCTGCTGCCAAAGCCACCTGCCAGGGAGGCGCAAGCCTAAACTTCAAAACCTGCCGCCATGATGTTGAAAAATGGTGGACATGATAGTGTGTAGATACATGCATATATCCGCATTTGCTGGTAAACTCTGATGTCCGACAGGTGCTGTGGAAGTCAACTTACAGGCCAATAGTTTGATTCATACAACATACAACAGAGTTAGCTCTCAACAGTAGAGAAACAATAATCATGTGTGGGTGAATTTAATCATGTGTGTGTGTGTGCGTGTGTTTCCTTTGAAACAACAAGAAACAACAACGTGATAGAGCCTAACTGGCTCTAGCCCCTACCAGCCTGCCACATCAGCAGTGCAATCTCGGCAAACTTGAGAGCCATCGGGCCAAGGGGAATCGGGGTCGAGTGCAGAAATCGAATTCGTTGACTTGTTGGGTGATGTTGGTCTTGAGCCAAAGGTTGACGTCAAAGATGCAAGCATCAAGCCCCCTCACAAATGGCACGTTCCAGCTTTCTCAACCGTCTCAGCTCATCGCAGGGCCCATCCATCTGCCCAAACCAAGCACTCGGCAAGTCGCCAACTACTCAGTGCTGGCATGCATGGTCCACCATTTTCCGCAGCGTGTGCTCTCCGCAGTCTCAGGCACATTGCAGACAGTCGTATGCCATATACAAAGACAATCTCATGATCATATACCGAACATCATGCAATCATGCAAATGATTGCGCCGCACCGTTTGAGGTGCCGCGCCATTTGAGGCGCCCGCATCTCAATCTCATCTCAACGTCTCACACTGCGATGCTTTCCCCGGCCCGCAGCTTCTCCAAGGTCTGATTGCTGAAGAGCATCTGCAGGGCTTCCGGGCTGTGGATGATCTCCTGCATCATGGGGCTGGCGTGTGCCAGCTGTTGCACCAGGGGATTCTCCTCCAGCACCTGCCAAGACACCGTCAGCTTCCCGGACACCGCAAACGTTGCTTGCGCGAGTTGCAATGCTGTTCGATGCTGCAAGTCAGCGTCTCAAACTACGCAAACTGAGAAGCAAGTTTCTTTGCTTGGCTGTGCGTGTGTGTGCTTGTCACCGCAACGACTAGGCTGATTTTACTTCAGCAAACGGTCTCCTTAACACCAACCCAGATGACATCCCGCCTCTCAAACAGCCCTGACAAGTACTGGAAACACACAAAGCTGATCAACAAAAAGCAATTCAGAATTGGACTGCGCCTTCACAAGCATCTCGGGCTTGCTGGTGAGGTTGCGAATACCTCGGACCAATCTTAGCAGAGCAACAGAAAATATTGTGCGCTGAGTTGAGAAGCGTGCCGCTCTCTTCTTTCCATACTCAAATGGATTGCTGTGATGCACACATGTGTAAGACCCTGACTGGAGGGCACCTCGCCAAAAAAAGAAACAACACACAACGACACAAACTACGGCCAGCAACTGCGTTCAGCCAAGCTGCGGTCTTGAACGCTCTGCTGGCCCAGTTCCGCCTTCAGCTGCGGATCCAACTGCTCCGGCTCCATTGCATTCTCGATGCCCGCGAGCTTCATCAAGGAACTGGGATCCGCTTGCTCTCCGCGACCCACGCTCTTGAAGACGTTCGTCCAAGCGTCCATGCCTGACACCAGCGCAGTAGGCATGCCAAGTAAAACACTCAGCCGAAGTATGGAATACGTCTTGACATCTCCTGAAAGGTTCGGTATGCTTACTTTGCCTACTTTGCTTTGGAAGGAGAAACCGACAATACAGGAGAAACCGGTGTCCGCCGGCTGCAGACGGCGTGTTGGACACAACAAATGCCACCCGGTTCGGAAAGAACATGACGTACCCATCTTTCGGCACTCTCCTTGTTTGACGCCATCTGGCAACGTCTTACGCGTCCCGCCTTCGAACTTCAGGTCCTCTATCTTCACATCTCGGCCATCCCGCCTGCCATGCAGATCGATCGAGACACCAGCTGCCAAAGCCACCTGCCAGGGAAGCGCAAACCAAAACTTCAAAACCTGCCGCCATGATGTTGGAAAATGGTGGACATGATAGTGTGCGTACATGCATATATCCGCATTTGCTGGTAAACTCTGATGTCCAACAGGTGCTGTGGAAGTCAACTTACAGGCCAATAGTTTGATTCATGCAACATACAACAGAGTTAGCTCTCAACAGTAGAGAAACAATAATCATGTGTGGGTGAATTTAATCATGTGTGTGTCTGCGCGTGTGTTTCCTTTGAAACAACAAGAAACAACAACGTGATAGAGCCTAACTGGCTCTAGCCCCTACCAGCCTGCCACATCAGCAGTGCAATCTCGGCAAACTTGAGAGCCATCGGGCCAAGGGGGATCGGGGTCGAGTGCAGAAATCGAATTCGTTGACTTGTTGGGTGATGTTGGTCTTGAGCCAAAGGTTGACGTCAAAGATGCAAGCATCAAGCCCCCTCACAAATGGCACGTTCCCAGCTTTCTCAACCGTCTCAGCTCATCGCAGGGCCCATCCATCTGCCCAAACCAAGCACTCGGCAAGTCGCCAACTACTCAGTGCTGGCATGCATGGTCCACCATTTTCCGCAGCGTGTGCTCTGTGCATATCTCTGACACCCTGTGCAGACAGTCGTATGCCATATACAAAGACAATCTCATGATCATATACCGAAACATCATGCAATCATGCAAATGATTGCGCCGCACCGTTTGAGGTGCCGCGCCATTTGAGGCGCCCGCATCTCAATCTCATCTCAACGTCTCACACTGCGATGCTTTCCCCGGCCCGCAGCTTCTCCAAGGTCTGATTGCTGAAGAGCATCTGCAGGGCTTCCGGGCTGTGGATGATCTCCTGCATCATGGGGCTGGCGTGTGCCAGCTGTTGCACCAGGGGATTCTCCTCCAGCACCTGCCAAGACACCGTCAGCTTCCCGGACACCGCAAACGTTGCTTGCGCGAGTTGCAATGCTGTTCGATGCTGCAAGTCAGCGTCTCAAACTACGCAAACTGAGAAGCAAGTTTCTTTGCTTGGCTGTGCGTGTGTGTGCTTGTCACCGCAACGACTAGGCTGATTTTAACTTCAGCAAACGGTCTCCTTAACACCAACCCAGATGACATCCCGCCTCTCAAACAGCCCTACCCCGAAAAGTACTGGAAACACACAAAGCTGATCAACAAAAAGCAATTCAGAATTGGACTGCGCCTTCACAAGCATCTCGGGCTTGCTGGTGAGGTTGCGAATACCTCGGACCAATCTTAGCAGAGCAACAGAAAATATTGTGCGCTGAGTCGAGAAGCGTGCAGCTCTCTTCTTGCCATACTCAAATGGATTGCTGTGATGCACACATGTGCAAGACCCTGACTGGAGGGCACCTCGCCAAAAAAAGAAACAACACACAACGACACAAACTACGGCCAGCAACTGCGTTCA